TTTAGGTAGTACTCCTTATTAACTGTTTGGCCTGGAGGGGTGTACTTGTGATGGACAGCACCTTCCCCATCAAAAAAACGTAGTTAACATGGTCTTGATCTTCTTGCAACTTTGCTGTGCCTTCTTCTGGCATGGAGACCTAGGTGATTTCCATTGGGACAACTAGGCTTTCGTTTCCAGATTATAGCTGCAGACCCAATTCATCCAGTTATGATCTTCTTGAGGAAATCTGGTTCATTGGTAGCGGTTTGAGTCAAGCATTAGCAACTGCAGCACGATTTCCTTCTGCTCTGGTAGCCAGAGCCATGGAACAAATTTGCCATGACATATTTAATGACAAGATCCTGTGACAAAATCTCGGAGACAGCAATTTTGGGAATCCCCAGATCAGCTTCGGGTTCCCACACTGTCAGTTGCTGATCTTTGTTGGTTGCAGCTCGTATATGTTCTCAAATGTTCTGCTTGCTGCAGGCCTCCCAGAATGTGGATCACTTTCAACAGATTCTTGACCATCTTTGAAGCATTTGTACCATACTTTTATTTGCGTTGCACTCTGTATTGTCCCTGAAAGGCTGCTTTCTGAATCTGAATAGTTTCCACACAGGAATGTTCAGGCTTAATGCAAAATTTGATTCAGATTTGTTATTCTGCTCACTGAGTCATTTTGAATATGGCAGACACATGGTGCACATGCTCACTCAACTGTGTCTACCGCCCCCACTGACTAGTCCAGTGAAGTCATCATTGTTCACACACACATATTCCGGTCCACTCTCCTTGGCTGCCAGGTTATATCAGTATTGTACAAACCATTCTTATATCGTTATATGAACAATGCTGGACTTTTTCTGGACAGACCTCATAGTTTATTTGTATATTATCTTAAATATTTTATGTATACACACATACCATTTGTGAACAATGAGAGTTTTTTCTTTAACCATTGTTGAAAAATAATTTTAATTTCTTTTCCTTGACCACAGTAGAATATTTAATAGAGGTGGTGATTGCAGACATCCTGTTTCATTTCCAATTTCAGAGAAGCTTTCCTATTCTACCGTTAATGTATTTACTGTAGGTTTTTAAAAAGACAATCTTTATTAGTTAAGGCAGTTCCTTGTAACATTTTAAACATCATGAATGGGCATTGAATTACGTCAAATAGTTTTTCTTTTGTGTCTATTTAGTGGCTATATAATTTTTCTTATTTAGTTAGTGGGATAAATTATATCAATTGGTTTATAAGTGTTAATAGCTTTGTATTACTGTTATAAATGAACTTGACTGAGATCTGTGCTTTATATATATCATAGGACTTGATCTGCTCGTATTTTGATTTGATTTTGCCAAATTTTTGCATCTACGTTCATGAGAAAGATTGGCTTTATATGTTTACTTTCTTGTAATTATTTTTCGTTATAAAAAAAGTTAGTGATAAATTTTGGTATCAAGGGTTTTATAGTCTTTGTAAAATGAACTCAGAATTGATTTCGTTTTATCCATTCCTTAGAATAATTTGTAGAAGGTTGGTGTTAGTTCTGAAATATTTAAGTATTTTATTGATTAAGCCATTTGGGCCTGAGGCTTTCTTTGTGGACAGGCTTTCTTTTAATTAGAGATTCATATTTTTAATGGACAGAGGGCAGTTGGGATTTTCTGTTTTTTGTGTGTCGGTTTTGGTAAGTTAGTATTTTTAAAAAATAAATCTGTCCACATCACCTAAATTATCTAATGTATTCACCTAAAGTTATTTATAACATTTTATCTGTTGAATATCTATTTAAGATTTCTAGTGATGCCTCTCTTCATTTCTTATATTGATAATTTGTATCCTCTCTTTTTTCTTTACAGTCTTACTATGTCTTTGTTAATTTTGTCTTTTTTTCTCAAAGAACTGATTTTTGGCTTTATTGTATTCCTTCGTTACAGAGATTGACAGAAAATGGCTCATGGGTCAAATCTAACCCATCACCTATTTTTGTAAATATAATCGTCCATATCCACTCATTTATGTGTTGCATATTCCTGCTTTTGCACTTCAGTGGCAGAGTTGAGTAGTTGGGACATATCTGATGTCTTATAAAGTTTAAAGTATTTACCATTTGTCCATTTACAGAAAAAGCTTACTGATATGTGTATTTTTGGTTTTTTCCTATGTCATTGATTTGTGTAGTTTACTTTCAGTATTACCCTCTTATACTTTGAATTTAACTTGCTGCTCTTTTTAAAGCTTCTTGAGATGCATCCTTATATTATTGATTTCTATCCTTAGATTTTCATTTACTTATGATATTTTCTCTAAGTATAGATTAGCTATATCTCACTATTTTTATGTCATATTTTAGTCATCATTTTATTGAAAAAGCTTTCTTATTTCCATCGTGATTTCTTATTTAAATCATAGTTTATTTACAACTTTGTTAATTGATTTTTAACTGTGTTGGTTAATTGCATATTTTAACAATGTAATTTACATGGACCTTGCATACTGAATTTATGTAGTCTTCTGTACTGTGCTTTTTTTTGGTTGACAACAATGATATCCTGGAAATCACTCCATATCACATACTCTTTAGTTTTTATTTACAGCTGCATGGTATATCATAGTATGAATGTATCCTAGTTTATTCCATCAACCTCATATATGAGTTTTTCCCCAATCTTTCCAACTGCAAACAGTGATGTACCTTGTTCATATGTATTTTTGTAGCAGTGAAAGTGTATCTTCAAGGTAATTTTAGATGTGGGCAAAAGGTAAACTCATTTGTGGTTTTGTTAGGTCCTGGCAGGTTCCCACATGAAATGGGACATCCCCCCAGCAAAGTGTGAGAGTGTCTTTTTCCTTGTGGCTTTGTCAAGAGAATGTGCTGTCAAGCTCTGTAATTTTGACCGAATCTAATCATTGAGAAATGGTATGTCAGTATAGTTATAATTTGCATTTTTCTCATTATGTCTGAAGTTGTCCATCTTTTCATATGTTTAAAGGTCATTGAAAAAATTTGTATTTGTGAATTTAAGTGATTTTGCTTATTTTTCTATTTTTTATCTTACTTCTCTAAGTTTTAGAGTTCTTTATGTGTTTGGGATGGATTTCACCCTTTATCTTTGATTCCTGCTAATTGTAGTTATTTTAAAATCCATGTGAGTCTGTGGGACTATTTTATTCTCTTAAAAAATTCTTTTAGGTTTTGGTCACTTGTTCTTTCCTAGTAGGCTTGGTAGTTTTTGACTGAATGTCGAACTTTGTGTATTAAAAAGTCATAGAGACTCTCAATGGTGTTCTTTTCCTGCAGAGATGATCTTGTTTTCCACAGGCTAACAGACGATACTTGGGTAGATAATCTTGATCAAGGCTGGTGGTCAGTTTCTCTCACTCGATAGAAATAGCCCTTTTTTAATTGAAACTGACAGTCTGGGGTCTTTACCTTTCTCCTTGGGTCCTCAGCATAATGCAACTACTATTTTCTCCCTAGATTTGTAACCTTATAGCAATTACCTTCTGCTTGTTCTCTGTCTTATCAGAGCCTGTGCAGTTTAGGAGTGAGCAAATGCCTTGAGGGGAATTTGCACTGTAAGGCTCACTGCTCTGCAGCTCACTTCTCTCTAGGACTCTGGCCTTTCAGTTTTTGTCAGTGCTTCCAACACAGTAAGACCACTGCAAGCTCTGGGTTACTCTTGTCTCTTCGGCCTTATTCCCCACCCAGTGAGCTGGCAAATACTCTGCAGAGAAGCAGCGGTGGCAAGTGCAGGGCTCGCTTCAGCGTGTTACCCTGTCCCCAGGGTTGCAGCCTATAAAGTCCTGATGCCTTCATTATTTCCTCATACCTTCAAAGAGCTCCTTTCTTTTTTTTTTTTTTTACATTTTGTCTAGCTTTTATAGTTGTTCTCAAACGGAATGGTTATTTGGATACTACTTATTCCATCATAGCAGGTAGCAGTAGTCATCTTTCCACTTAGCATATTTCATTAAATTTGTATGGAAATAAGAGAACACAGTCACATTGGCAAAGCATTTTAAAACTGACAAGGAAATTGGCCACTGCTGGGGAGGGTATAAATTTGTACCACCTTTATGGTGAGCATTCATGTATATCAAAGTCCTTAATAATTTGCCCTTTGACCCAGCAATTCTGCTGCCAGGTATTTATTTTAAGAAAATAATCACAGGTGTGTGTGGAGGTTTGTTTACAAAGAGAGATTCCACTCCCAGTCAACAGGATTGGAATCAAAATCCTCGATATGCAACAATAGAGGGTTTTATAAGCTGTAGTGCTTGAATACAATGGAATATAAAGGAACTCAACATTACAAATGATATAGGAGAGTATTTAAACATATAATTATTGTTAAGCACAAGAGATTACAAAGTGACATATGTTGTATGGTCCAATTTAAGAATATTTATACCAGTACACAAATATAAGACTAACATAATGCACGTGGAAGTGGTAACAGATGGTATTACTGGGTGGCTGTTTCTTTTTCTCCTTTGTTTATGCATATTTTAAAAGTTTTCCACAGGGCATTGCTTTCGTTTCTAAAAGAAAATTGAAGCACTTAAAAGAAAAACTTAGAGTTGATAAGTCCAGTTGATAACGTTGTCTAGCAAACACTTTATTTTTGTTTTGGCCTCCTGAGCTCTGTCTTTATGTGGTTGGTACTGTTACAGATTTTGTTGGAATCAGTACCCACCTGGAAAATACTTTGCAGAGCAGAAGGCCTCCATACAAATATGCTTTAAATTCCCACTAGTCAAATTCAGACAAAGGCATCACTAGTTTCTGCCAGTGTGTGCCAGAGCCTTTTTAGGAAGGAGTCCTTCAGATACAGTGAATGGGCTTGTGACAAGGACCTGGATTACCAGGGAAGATTTATTTCTTAAAAAAGATCTATAATTTCTGTTTGAAACCAATGGCCAAAATGCAACACAATCACCTTTTAAAAACGAAACCAAGATTTCTGAAAACCACTCTTATCCTTTGTTGTCCTTTTCTTTGAAGGTAAACCTTCAAGGCAGCAGTCACCAGCTATGGCCTCTTGGGTTTCGAGGATGCTTCCTAGGAATGTCCATTCCTTGGCTCCATCATCAGAGAACCAGCGAGTTGAGGATTGTCATCATCACCACGAGGCTTATGGATGCTTCTTGCCCATCCAGACCAGGTGGCAGGACAATGACCAGTATGGCCACGTGAACAATGCCGTGTACTGCAGCTACTTCAGCACTGTTACCAACCACTACCTGATCAGGTAGGCTGGGGTTCTGCGGCCCCACAGCCTCACCTCAGCCCTCTGGCACGTCCTCTGTTGGGAGTGCACGGAAAGCGTTTTGGGAAGAGAGTCTTGCCATTTTCCTCTGCTAGCGCGCCTCTTTTGTTGAGTCAACTGAAAGCGAGGTTATTCCAGAGGAAAACAGGAGGACTGACCTCCTGGTGAGGAAAGTGTGGCCCTGCTGCTCTGGCAGTCTCAGGTGTTACGGTGTCTTGGTCCTTGGGGCTAAATTGTAGGCTAATATTCAGGCTTTGAGTCTCAAATAAGCGTCTACACAACAAACCACATAGTAGTCAGACCCTGGGCATCTTGTGCAGACATAACATCAGCCCTCAAGGCCTTTGTGTGAGCAATACAACTGCTTCCCCCATTGAGGGAACCTAAGGGGAAGGAAGGAGAATAAAGATGTTTGTTATAGTTATTGAATGCCCTCAAGATGAGATTGTCATCTCACAGGTATGTTTGCAAGATTGGTTAGTATATATTTGGCTAATATAATTTTCTGTGTGTAGGATTGTGTGGTCTAGACAGATCTGCATAAATCCTTACTTCACCTTGCATTAACTACGTAGTTTTGATCAAATGACTTAATCGTATTGAGTCTTCTGTGAAAATCACTCACGTTTATTATGAGCTTTCTCTGTGTCTAGCACTGCGAAGCATTTTATGCAGGCTTTCTTATTTAATCCCAGACAGCTCGATGAGAGAGCAGCAGATTGTCAGTGCGCTTCCTGCACCTCCCGCCTACCCCCGTTTGGGGCACACTGGTGTGAATGGCAACTGTCAGCTCCCACATCTATTTGCATTAGGACTAGCTCGAGCCACCAGAGCTCCTCTTGCAGCCAGGCCAGAAGTGCAAGGAATTAATGCCTTTTGGAAGCAGCCTTCAGTCACGGATGGAAGGTGGTGTATAAATACTCCAGCTTCCTTACGTCTTGAACATCTCTGATCACTGTATAGATTCCCAGGCTTCCCTCGTGGGATGAAGCTTCGGTTCCCAGATTGGTACCTTTAAAAAAGAGAGAGAGAGAAAATTTACTTAACCTAACATCTACTTCTTTAACGATTATAAAGTGTACAAATTTAGTGGCTTTCAGTATAAGCAATATAAGTGTACTCACAGTATTATGCAACCATCACCACGATCTAATTTTAGAACATTTCTATCACCCCCAAAAAGAAACCCCATACTTATTAGAGGTCACTCTCAACTTCCCTTTCCTCCTGTGCCCTGGCAACATGAATTTGCTTTCTGTGTTTATAGATTTACCAGGTCTGGACACTTCATATAAATATAATCATACAATATGTGGTTTTCTGTGTCTGGCTTCTTTTACGTAGCATAATGTTTTTAAGATTGATTCGTGTTGTAGCATGTGTCAATACTTTGCTCCTTCTCATGGCTGGATGATAACCCATTATATGGATATACCAATTTTGCTTATTCACCAATTGATGTTTGTTTGGGTTGCTTTCACTTTCGGGCTATTATGAATAATGCTGCTAGGAATATTTGTGTACAGGTTTTTGTATGGGCATGTTTTGAGTTCTTTTGGGCGTATACCAAGAATCGAATTGCTGGGTCGTTCGGTAACTCCACATGTAACTTGTTGAGGAACCACCAAGCTGTTTTCTGCAGCAGCTGTGCTGTTTGTATTCCACCAGCAACGTGGGAGGGTTTCAATGTCTCCACATCCCCATAACAGGTGGTGTTTTCTTGTCGATTACAGCCATCCTCGTGTATGTGCAGTGGTGTCTCACTTTGTTTTTTTTTAAAGATTTTATTTATTTATCTTTAGAGGGGAAGGGAAGGAGAGAAGGAGAGAAATATTGATGTATGGTTGTCTCTCGTGCATCCCCTGCTGGGAACTGGCCTGCAACCCAGGCATGTGCCCTGACTAGGAATCGAACCGTGATTGTGTGGTTCGCAGGCCCATGCTCAATCCACTGAACTATGCCAGCCAGGGCTCTCACTTTGGTTTTGTTGATGACTAACGATGTTGAGTATCTTCTCATGTGCTTGTTGGCCTTTGGTATATTGACTTTGAAAAAATATCTAATTAGATTTTTTATAGTGCCTTTTTCAGTTTTATTGAGGAAACAATTAACATCTATCACTGTACAAGTTTAAGGAATACATAGTTTGGTTTATATGTATTGTGAAATGATTATTATCCCAATAGATTCAACTAACATCTATCATTTCTATAGATGCAATATAAAGATAAATAATTCTTCTTGCAATAAGAACCCTTAGGATTTACTTTCTTAACAACTTTCTTAACAACTTTTTTTGCATATCATATTGCAGTGTTAGCTGTAATAATCACGTTGTATATTATATCCCTATTACCTACTTATCTCACAATGGGAAATTTGTACCTTTTGACCATTTTTCTCCAGTGCCCCCTCCCTCCCCTCTGGCTCTTGTAACCATGTCTGATCTCTTTTTCTACGAGTTTTTTTTTTTTAAGATGCCATATCTAAGTGAGACCACAGAGTATTGGTCTTTTTCTGTCTGACTTATTTCATCTAGCATAATGACTTTAAGGTCCATTCATGCTGTTGCAAATAGTTGGACTTCCTTATTTTTCATGGCCAAATACTATTTCTATATATGATTTACCAATTCCATTTCTAGGACTAGATCCAAGGAAAATGAAAATACCAATTCAAAAAAAAAATCTGCTCCCATATAACCAAAACATGGAAACAACCTAAATGTTTGTCAATGGATAAAAAGAATATATGTCCATATATATACGTAAGAATATGTGTGTGAGTGCACCTCTCAGCTGTGTGGGGGCAGATATCTTTTTTGAAGTTTTAAAAATCTTTACTGTATTTTTCCCATTACCATTCAGTCCCTCTACAGCCCACTCCCCCTAGCAGTCACCATACTGCTGTCCACGTCCATGCAGATACCTTACACTTTTCACTCACGGAGCAGATTTACTGTCAGGGAACTTAAACATCTTGTCTCTGAAGGATGTATGCAGAACAGCTTCCACTTTGAGGGTGCCTGGCTCTCCCTTGGGCGACAGGTGGTCCTGAATCTTCACACTGATTTTACGTTGTCTGCACCTGTCAGTAACTCCTCTCGAAGTAGCTTACACTTGCTTACCTGTGAATAATAAACTGTCTTTTCAGCACTCATTTTAGCTTCTAAGAGAATGTATGTTTTATACCTTGAAATCCACAGGAAGGAGTAAAAACAGTATTTGAGGCTTATTGTAAGTTTATATCATTTGTTACAGAGGGAAACTTAACCCTGAATTTTTCAACTCACTCCAGGGCTACTCCATGTTTTTTAGAAAGGAGCCTTATAACTTCTTTGGATTGTCTCTCAAGAATCATCTCAATGTACTTAGGACGTAGTGGTATGCCTTAGTCACTTCGAGCAGCTACAACAGCCTATCATGGACTGGGTGGCTTAAACAGCAGGAATTTGTTTTCTGTAGTGTGGCAGTCTGTGGGGTCCAGATTGGAGAACCAGCGTGGCTGTGTTCCGGTGAGGGCCCGCTTCTTGCTTCATAGACAGCCACCTTCTTGCTGTGTCTGCATGTGGCCCAGAGAACAGGTTCTGGTCTCATTCTCTTCTTATAAGGACATTAATCTCATCATGGGGGACTCCAGCCTCATGACTTCATCTGAATCTAGTTAATTCCTAAAAGGTCCACGTAGTCTTCGTGGCTTTTGAATGTCTCCTATTTGTGAATGGAACTTCTGGGAAGATGATGTGCAGAAAATGATGGTTGAGTCTTTTACTCAGTGGAGGTTGTGGGGTAGGGATGGGGGTTGGCAGCATCAGTTCCCACCAGAATTGTGTCCTCTCTCATAAGAGTCTCCAGGTACGACACATGGACTCCGAAACTGTGAAAATACCCTGGCTGTTGCGGTCAGGGACTTCCTAGTCGTGACCAAAAAAAAGTGGGTTTACCTCTATACTTTTTCTAAGAGATCTGAGGGTTGTTTACTAGGTTGCTCACTTACTGTCGGAAGCCAAGCCAGCACCACCGAAGGAAGGTGTGGGAACTTGGGGAAACCAGCCTCATTTCACCGGTCACTGCGAGGAAGGGCAGCTGGTCGAGCCCAGGCAGGGCACCGCAGCCGGGCTTGCACACTCGCCTCCCTCCACCTGGCTCTCTAAGGATGGGCAGTGCTGTACGTGTGCCAAGGACCCGAGGGATACTCAGTGAGGAAAATCCTCGTCTAGAACATTCCTTCTCTGAGCTGGGTTTTCTCAGGAAAGGGGACCAGGAAGTCGTGGAGGGCCCGGCAGGGATGATGGCACAAGAGCCCGCAGCCTGTCCGAAGTTCCCATCACTCTGACACGCGGAAGGGGTTAAGCCATTCTTGAGCAGTTTATCGCTCATCAATTGCAATTAAATATGTTTATATTAAATTATGTTCTGTAATTAATGTAAAATCCTTTAGCCTATGCTGTTATTAGAGCCAGATGCTGAAGTACCAACAATATTTCAACATGACTGTGCTGCCTCGCCAGCTGTCTAACTGTAATTGCTTTAATCTCAGCTTGTTATCTAATTATCACCTTTGTAAAGGGAAAAGTACTCTCTAATGCGTACTGATTGTTTCAGATGACGATGAAGAGCAGGGAACAGCTGTCAGAGATCGGGGGCCCTGCTTATCACAATGAAGGAACTTATCTTGAAGCCTAGTCAGGGCCAAACTGCTGGAAAAAAAGATGTCCCAGGTGGGAACAGGGCACTGGCCAGTGAAGGGAGACAGTTGGTGTGGTGGTGAAGGGTGGGGCCCCTGGGATAAACTCTCAGGTGACATCTGCCTCCCACAGGGATGGCAGGAGAGGGGGGGACAAGTTACTTGATCACGTCAAGACTCAGTTGCCACACCTGTAACGTGGAGACAGTAATAGTACTGGAATCTATCTCAGCACATTGTTGTGAAGGTTGAATGAGATTATGCATATGAAGCCCCAGCACAGTGCTTGATGAAAT